TTCCACTATTTAAATTGCAATGCCGTGAGCCGCGAGATTATCGCGATGGTGAAATCTAACGATTTTATCTGCGCATCTTTGGGGATGAAACGTGATACATATTCCAGCGAGGCGCGAGCGTAATCATGATGGCAGGATCGAATGTAATTTGGAGGGAAATACTACGAGGTGAAATCTTCGGCAAACATAGAATTGATTGGTGATAAGCAACGTGAAATGTCAGCATACGCGTCACGATGTCATGTCATCAGGAAATGATCCCCTACGGATCGTCTTTATATCGTAAGACACATTTACCATATTATCGTGATAAGATCGTACGAAACTCGGGGATCGATTAGTTACGCAGGCGAACGCGGCGAACCGTCGGCATTGCGCCGCAGAGTAAAAATGCTAATTTCCCGAATGACGAGGTTTGTCGATCGCGTCCGCATGCATTGTTACGGACAAGTGCGTTGCACGCGATGAATTATTCATGGCGAAATAGAGGTGCGGGGGCGCCAAGCTTAATACTACGCTTGATTCTACCACCGATAAGAGCGCGGATTTCATTTTATAATCGGGGAGAGGTTGCAAGACCGTGTACTTTAAGAATGTGCGTGAATATATTCATTCGGCGTTCTTAAAGCGCCCGAAACTTTCGTGAAATGAAGGGGAAATTATTCGACTCCCTCTATTTCGGCTTACTTGATTATAACACGATTTCATAATAGATGATGCGGTGTTAAACCGCATTAAACGATGAATAAGATTATGATAAATAGAAACGAATTTAATTTCTGAAAATGTCTAAATATATTTTAGAAGTTACATTTTTGATATTTTATTTTAAAAAGATGAAAGTATTTAAAAACTTTGTAAATATCTTTGTTGAGAAATAATACGAGAAAAAAATAGTTTATTAAAATTTTGCATAACATTTCTGAACTTGTTGCTTCGGAAATGCGATTTATTAGCCGCGCAATATTTGCAAACTGCATAAACTGCGTTTGTAGAGGATCAGCGAAGAAATAAATTGAATGAGAAAATTTATACATAACTAGTTTCAGAGTTTTTATTCTCGAATGCTTCTCGGACAAGTTGCGGAAAGCTCGATCGCGCGCGAATAAAGTTACTTGTTTTATAAAAACTTTTTTTGCGCGGAAAAATTCTGACGAGATAAATCGCCGTGTCAGCTTCGTGTTATTTTTCATCTGCATGGCCAGTTTACTGCCGGGGTCGGCCACAGTGAAGGGGTTGACTTGCACTCGACTTGGCATTGATGCAGGTGCTAAACAGCACTTTACCACGAGAATTTAATTACAAATTCTCTTTCTCTCTCTCTCTCTCTCTTGTTACTCTATTTTTCTGTAGGGAGAAGATGGAGGATGAAAAAAGAGGATCGGGATGAGATAGCTATATGTAGGTGAGGTATGAGATGGTATGTTCATCTTAATCTTGCGGGTATTTTAACGAAAATTAAAATGTAGTTCGCGCTTCTGTAGTTGCAGTTTTTGCGTGTATTTCACTCTAATGTTTCATTATCGAGGAATACTTAGTCGTATTCCTGCTTTTATGCACTTTTTACGTTGGAGCAAATGGAAGATTTTTACGCGAGTAATGGATTATATTAATTAGATATATTAAATCTATTATTGAAAATTACATATACTACTGAGAAGCAGAATATTTCCTAAAAATATATAATCACATGTTTACTATATTTATTATTTTTTCTACGCAATTTTGTTTTATACAAGAATGAAATAAACGAATTTTGATTGAGTATTTATTAATATTGTCCACAGAATCTCTAATTCTAATTTTATGTCTGTCTTGAATTTATTGTCTACTGAGATAAAATCAATTCTACATATGCATTTGAGGGTCAAGCTGTTTTTCAAAAATCTGCATTCCCAAGAATACGAGAATCCACAGTCAGTAAACGTGTATATCGTGCATGGCGGCCGGTAAAATGGCTGCAAGTAGATAAGGTATCAGTATTCGGTACTTTTACTCAACCGATAATACAAAGGTATCAAACGGCCCTGAAGTTCGAAAATAGCGAATACCTACTCCAGGTATTCTATTATATCATCCATGGAGTATATGTGTCGGAAACTAATAGTAATTTTCAACATCCCTGTCCGGTTCACATCAGAGGGCATGAAGAGTATATTTTGATGCTCCAAGGGATAACGGAACCGCATACTTATTTAGGTTGCTTAGCTAACCCACAGATCCGAGCACAATACATTGCGGACATGCACTTACATATATTTACTATTACATACAATTTTATGCGCGTATAATAAATACTTGAGCAAAATTAGAAATAAGATGCAATTTATAGTTTAAGAACAATAAGAAGACTAGAAAACAAGATATGTACATATGATATTTGACAAAGATGCAGAAAGAGAAAGAGAGAAAGAGAGAGCAGGCTAGTAAAAGCTGAAATTTATTTTTTATTTATATTTTTTAATTAAAAAATATCGTCTGTATCGGTACAATAAAGGATTTTAAAAAATTACTTCAATTTAGAATTTATTTAAAATTCAATATAACAGATATGACAATCGTCGCATAACAATTTTTTATCCAAATAATTTATCCAAATTATACTCTATAGAACGCTTAATTTGCGAAAAACAAAATATTTATTTTACGAAAATCATAACGTCACAGGCTAACCAATTTGTATCACAGTTAATATACGCTTGTGCAAACATCTTTCGTTATATATTTGCCTTTAATTAACGCATTTAATAAAGCAGCCGTGATATTTATCGCGATAAAATATTAATGACACATCATGACTATTACATGACTCAAAATGAATAACACATATTAAACGCAACAGAGATTAAATCGAAGATAAAATTGCCGAAGTTATCAATGATGCATGGACTCGTTTAAATAATGATGCGGGATGAGTTGTTTCACACAAGTATCGTTCAGTATATAATCCTATAAAATAAATCATGAAATTATTGTTTACCACGTAGACCGCCACACAAATTTGTAAATTTCCAAATAACGTGAAATTCTAGCGCTTATGTCAATTTTGTATGATTAAATAATAACGCATTGATTTTATTTTTAAACAGGATGATAGGTTAAATTATGATATAATAAATTGTCAGAAATACCTGATAATTGTAAATTTAGCATTTATAATTACCACTAAAACCCAGTGTTATACAGGCTGTTTTATTTTGTACGTCAATTATCTCTGTCAATTATCTCAGAAAATATTGGTTTATTGGAAAAACGTTTCAGATAAAAGTTGGAGGGTTTGAAGGGAGCCAATAGACGATCTTATTAGATTTTAGGTCCGGGGCCCGTATTGAGCCCAGTAGAGCTCAAGTCAAATTTTTTAAATGGAAACCCCATTTTTTATTGTATCATCTTTTTCCACTAATTGATTTGAACAACTTTTGTCTGAAACATTTTTTCATTTGCTTATACTTTTTGAGATATTCAAAGAAAACTTGGTAATTTTCTCAATATTACGCTTACGATATCTCGATAATTGTTTGTCAGAGGGAAAAGTGGTACAAGACTTTTTAATTTGATTTGGTCTTAAGAATATGCTGTTGTAATAGTAGTCCAATTTTTTTAAATATTTGTGTATACATCTCCTTGGAACTTTCATGTTGGAGGGTTTAGAGAGGGCCTAACGTAGGTCTCGGACGCATAATCTAATAAGATCGTTTATTGGCCCTTTTTGAACCCTCCAACTTTTATCTGAAACATTTTTCCAATGGAGATAATTAGTACACAAAATAAAACTCTGTATAATATTATAGTGTGTATAATTTCATAGATCTAAAAAATTACTATTGTACGAGTTAGAACTGAATTTTCGTAGATAACGCGTTGTTCTTTCAAGATATTACAATTATTTGAATTTTGGTCCTTTAGACAACTCCCGGCATTCGTGTAAGCCAGAAACGTACGGAAAGCTCTTAATCCCTGGGTAGCATTAAACATTCTTTGGGACCGCGTTATCCCCGGAGTTATCCCGAAAGGGTTAAGTGACGAATAACTGTACGGCTTACGTTAATTCCGCGGTGGTGGCTGCCCTATATATCGCACGATTGCGCCAAACCAGAGGAAACTGCGTACAAGTTCGGATGTTTATGCTTCGAGCAAAACCGAGAAGTGCAGCTCCAGCGAAGTAACTCTCGCCTTGCCGCCGCTATGGCAATAAGCATGCGCTATATGGTTCCCTCATGCATATTCGGCAAAGGTAAACTTTACGGTGAATTTGCCTCTCGGCCTGTTCCGCGCACAACTAGCTAATTAACTATCGCGCCGGATAACTTTCGATAACCACGACTGTCCGCGGCGGTGTCTCACAGCTTACACGTAATCAACCTGTCGTCGTAATCCGCGACGCGATGTTCATGCAGGTTGACGTAAGTCTCTCGTTATCGAGCGACGTTGAGGAACTTTGAATAATTCCAAACAAATCGGAAGTGCAAAATGCTTTCCAATTCAAATGTGACTTCCTAAATCCCGTGGACGAAACTAAAAGCAGCTTACCCAAATATGTAAAATTTGCGAATAGAAAGATGGAAAATATGGGTAAAATAAGACGCTAGATCGCTTCTGATCCTCTTTAGAATGAAATGTTAATTATATGTTATAAAGAGAAACTTTAAAGGTTTAATGAAGAATTGAAACATAAAATGACATGGAAAGAATAAAGTTCGTTTCGCATGTTATTAAAGATTATTTCGAGTCAAAAAAATGTCAAAACGATGTTTTAAGAAGCCTATTATCAAGTACGTATCACGTATATATAAAATATAAATGAAGATGGCTGCTAGGATTAAAAACGCTATTTGGTAGGTGATATTTTCATAATCGTAAAAAGTAATATTATATTCGCATTTACGTTTCTTGTTTCTGACGCTATAAAGAAGGTAAATTACTGCCGGAAAGCGTAACGCCGGGAAAGATTTTTCTAAACAAGGTACACGAAACGTTTCCATAAAAGTCGGAAGTACTTGTTTTATTGTAAGTCATTAAATATTGCGTTGTTCGGCTAAGAAGTATCGGGAAAGGATAAAAGAAGAGACAGTCGTAAAGTTCTATAAAAAATTATATTACATCTACTTTCGACAAGAAAGAAAGAGAGGCAGATTTATTTAACGTTGAATTTGTTACTATATTTTCCTAAATTCTTTCTTCGATAATAAATATCACAGCCTAGAGCAACCGAGAGCTTTTCCAAGTAACTACACATTTAATTGAACATTTACAATTCTGTGGATATGCGGATGATTTCGAAGTATTTGTGTGTTGCATTCTTCACGCTTTCGATATTTCGCTAACTTCAGCAGGTTTCGCTGGCAATTCTTTCACGGGTTGCGGAAAGAATAGAGATACGCAGAAGCAGACTGTGAAAAGAAAATATATTAGAAAAGAAATTAGGTTAAACTCTATCAGAGAATTTTAGAATTAATTTTACTTATCTAATTAAGTCAAGTAAAAATATTTGAGAAAAATAATTGAGAGATCTTAAAAAATGTAATAGATAAATTTCATTATTCTCATCTATTAAGGTAAACGTCCCAGTAGCCAGACACGTACCATGTCCGACCACATTGAAGAAAAATATTTACTATTTATTCGAACAATTAAAATTAAAAATAATAATTATTATTAAAAAACGGGATCTTTAAAAAGCGGGAATATTTCTTTTGGTGAAATATTATTGGCGGAACAAACACTTACTTTTTGGTATTATTAAAAAACTTTAATATTTAACAATTCATTGGGTAAAAGCTTATTTTTGTTTTTAATTGTTCAAATAGATAGTAAATATTTTTCTCCAATATGGTCGGACACTGATACGTGTCCGCGCCACTGATGGGACGTTTATTTTATTTATGATATGACACGATTTGTATAGAAAGGATTAAGTAAACTGTTGAGCGTTGCATTGATCGTACCGGAGAAAAAACAACCTAATCCCATGAACGCGATGATGCATTTGGTATCTAGAAGCGCGGAGAAAATCAGATTTCCCACGATAGCGGCAATATTTCCAATGATTACGAGGATGCTGGTGCTTGTGGCTCTGCAACAAAAATATTAATTTCCGTCGACCGATTATATTTATCTTTCGCGACGATGTATCTCCGTTTCTCGCATTAACGGATACGGACGTTGATAAGCGGGCGAATCGTGGATTGCGCTCGATAAGTCCCGAGATTGCTGCCGTTCGCGCGTTTGCCACATCTGCCACGTGGTTGCACGTGGCGCAATTAATTCCATCGGAATTACACGGGGATGCGCGGGCGAGAGTGCAGAGGATACGGTCGCGTGCGTCAAAGAGACGCGCTTATATATTCGCGCGGCATTACCTTAATGGGACGGGAATAACGTCGACATTCACCGCGGTAACGATATTACCCGCTATTCTTGTCGTCACGATAACCGCCGCCGCCAGCGTCAGCATATACGGCGGAGACTGCGCCCAATTTATTCCGAAACTGCTTGCCACCGATATCAGGAGGGCCGTGACTGCAAGAATGGTGTTGTACACGTTAATTTATGGATTATTCCCGCGGAACAGCCGCCCCATAGACTGCATTTAGCCATTTCTACGCCTAGCTAGAGTATGTAAAAAATACGCAAAAAAACATTGACATTCTTTTGAAAAAGAAATAAATATTTTTGTGACTCAGTGACTACACTTATTGCACTCGTTTTTAATATAAGATAATTTATATTAATTTCTCTAACAAAATATATTGCTTACAGGATGATATTTTTTAAGTTTGACACAGTAAATGTAATGATATGCAATATCTTACGCATTATGATCTGTTTTCGAAGCTTGGTAGTCATTATAAATCCGGCGAGAAATGAGAATAAAACGGCTGACGATGCGATGATGGTGGAATTTTGATAAACCGAGGGATTGATAGTCCACTGGAAAAAAGGACCACGGCGTTAAAAATGCTATATTATATAAATTCTATTGAGGAAAATTGTTAATGAGGCTCGCAGTTTGCGGTTAATTGACGATCCGTTAATTAAAAACACTGCGGTTTTGCTCCAAGATTGATATTTTAATACTGATTTGACGATAATTAGATTAACTGCAAGGTTCGCCTCTTGGCGTCGCGCGATTTTTACCAACCCTGAAACACGCGTCGTCAAAGTTCGAGCAATTCAGATATTGCCTGCCCGGTAAAGCCGCGCGACGGTCCAGCATCTCACATATGGTCGGCTGCCTTTCCTCCGGTGTCCATTTCTCCGCGTCGAAGTTGTTGAGAATGATAAAGAGATGCGGCACCCACAGCCTCATCGTGTTGAATCTACGCAATTGAACAATATTCGTCATCGTTTTCGAGTATTATCACGTCGAGAAGCGTCCAGGGCACTGAGCCTCTATTTATCCAAACTTACCCGAGCATACTTCCAAATTGGAGAAAACTTACGAAGCAGAAGGCGGGCAGGTAGGCCGTCGTCGTCAGTAGTACCTTCGTGTTGTACAGCGAGATGCGCATCCTCTCGAGGCTCGTATCGAGCACGGAACGCGCCAATTGCGTCTTTTGCCGAACGAACAACGCTTTTATCTGCAACGAGAAGGGAGGCGACGAGATGAAAGGCGCCCTTTTCTCGGCTCACCGAGTGAATTATGCGTCCGATTTGTGCACCGCTATCTAAATGCAGTGGCGGCAGCGGCATAGAATATACGAATGCACAGACATACAGCATAAGATAGGGAAATAATGTATGATACATAAAGTATGAACGGTATAAATTTATCATTGTTTTCATTATCAAGATCTGAATAAATAGATCTACGAAATGGTGATTTATTGTCCAAAAGGTTTCGCGATAAAAAGAAGGGCAAAATTTAAATTCGCTCGGGGTGTGTGTAGTGACGCCCAGTACCGACTTTGCCTTCATTCGCCTGGAAAATACGATTTGCGCCTTTCTCTACTTCCGTTTCCGCTTTACGCCGCTTTCTCGCTCTTTTTCTCTTCGCTGCGGACGTGCCATAAATAAAACGTGTCGTTTGTATCTAGCCGAGGTGCTATGAAGTCGCGAAGGATATCTCCCGGTCATTTGTTAGAGCCCGAAATAACGAGTTTTGCTCGATAAGCCGGTAAAAAGTTAATAACGCCCGAATAATGCAATATTTTTATTGCCCGAGTCAGAAATGAGAATGGTATCTTGCTCTGTATCCTGCCAAAAAACGGCCAATAACGAGTGCAGCAATATGTTCAATGTACAATGTTTACTTGAAAAATATATAGAAAATAATAAAACCTAAAAAATCTTTGTAGAGATCAAACTTTTTAAATTAGATTTTAGCGTGTTTCGGCTGAAGGTTAATAAAAATGAATAGTCTGATCTGGAAGATAAAAAATACAGGGAAAAATAAGAGATCTATAGAATTAAAAGATAAGTCGTTTTACGCGTTATTTGACTTACCGGGAACGTATCCGCAGGTTGCCTAGTGTTCATACAATACATCCTTCTAAGCAATTTCAGAGCAGCATCTGACCTGCCAATTGCCATGAGATACTTAGGGCTTTCCGGCAACATGGTCGCCGTCACGAGGCCGACGACGGGTGGTATTGAGCAGATCAGTAGGTATATACGCCAAGAGCCGTAATCTTGGCCAAGAATGCCGATGTGCCAGTCCAACGGTAGTATCGTGAAACCCAGAGCTGTCGAGTCGTACGTTTAATTATTAGGACAAATCCATGTTGTGTCTTTATTAATTTTTTTTTCCCCAAGAAGTATATGAGCAATCTTCCGATTTTTCGATCTTTCGCGTTGTCTTCTTTGTGATAGGCGACAATGAGAAGTCTTAATCGTACAGAAAATTAGTCTTTCAGTCCAAAACTAATTGATTTATTTCTTAAAGTTTTGCAATCTCGATAGCTCGCGTATTCAGCCGGAACTATTCGGTGTCAATGTGATTTGCCGTACGCGTTGTTAAATAAAGTTTGCTGGTCATTATACACAGGACGTCGCGATAGTGACACGTAATCTAGTTTCGAACTAGTTTCGCCAACCTCGGCAACAAGAGAGCTATGAGGTCGCTTCTGAATCCTTTTCACATAAGTCATCCAAATATTATAGTTACGTTTATAAGACAGATTAACAGTGCAAATAAAATAAACAGTAGACGCAACAATAAATAAAAATTATTACGATTTCGTGGATGCTTATCATGTACGAGGGTAAGTTAATAATTATTTATACACGCACTATTTATTAGAATAATATTAGAGAATGTACAATTACATCATTCTTCAACATATATAGTCTTTTTGCTTTTTAATGTTTTAGTGCTCCACAAGCTTGCACATACCCTCGAAAAAAAAGTTTTTGGTTTGTCCCTTAGCTATGTATGCATCGTTTCTTGCACATGTTGGTCTGTGGCAAATCGACGA